ACTTCTTGTGTTCTTTGTCTCTATTTTCACCTTTCCAAATTGGACTTTGGATATATTACTGGTAAATCAGCAAATTACTTTCAACCGTGGAACTAATAGAAATGATAGATTTTTTTTTTCTTTTTCCTCATTTGGGGCAATATTTGGTCACCTGATACCTAGATGCCATTTCAGGTGCTTAATGTTTTTTGATATTCTAATAATGTAAACCAAAGCTTTCTTCTCTAGGAAAAAATTAACATGGAAAATCCATACTATATAGGAGGTCAACATAATAAAAGGTTAACTTGATATTTAGAGATTTATGAAGAACACATGGAGGTGTTTGATGCTAATTACACATTCTAGGTATGTAGATTTGAGAGCGTTTTCCTTCCTTAGGACACACCAGAGTTATAATACTATTATACCAAATACCATAAATAAACACCTTAGCAAAAAAAAACAAAACAAACAAACAAAAAAAAAACACCTTTGCATTTTGCTGTTTGTATGGAGACTGACCATGACCACTTTACTGCCTATTTATAAGCCGAATCATTGAGCTTGTCAATATGATGGTAACTAAATTATTGCTGGCAATTGTATGAGTTTGTTAAAAATCTAGTCAGATGCTATTAAATAGTATTTAATGAGCCTTCTGAAAAACTAAACTTAAAGGTATTCAAATTTATTTTAGAGAGGGGCAAAATTTTTAGACTATGCCAACTAGATTTCCCTATAAAGTAAACTCCTCTGAAACTTTCCTTGTAATTTTTAGAAAATAATTTGGCAGTTTGAATCGAGAGACTTAAAAATAGTTATATTCTTTGTCCCTATAATACCACTTATGAAAAGCTATCCCAAGGAAACAATCAAAAATGTGATAAAAGATTTAATGAGTAGGATGCTCATTACAACATAATTATATAGGGAAATAAAAGGAAATAATACAAATGTCTAATATTAGATAATGGTTAAATATATCATCTCTGTGTATTACAAGTCTATGCTGTCATTAAAAATCACGTGCATTTCTAAAAGTATATATATAATTTCACAGGAGTTTTATGCAAAGCCACTTTAGCTAATTTATCCCAACTTTTTAAAATGCACGTGTACAAATAGAATATAAAAGACTGGTACATGATAACTGTTATTAATATTTTGATATACCTCTAGTTGGTGGAATTAGGGGCTTTTTTTCTTAATTTGTTTTTTAAATTTTTCTTATGACCTAATAAATTATTTCTAATGTGTGACTTATTTAATTTTTTAGTCATTTGCCAGTTTTCCTGTTTACCTATCTTTTCTTTATGCCAGTACCAAACTTGAAAGTCAGCTAAAATGAGGAATTATGAGAATGATGGGAAACAAAAGGGAAGGCTAGTCCCTTGCCCCCATAGTAACTTGATTTTTACAGATAAAAGCATAATATGTATCTTTCCCCCAAATACTCCAAAATAAACAGTTAAACAGAAAGCTATACACACACACACACACACACACACACACACACACACACACACATATATATATATATGATTTCTTGGAGCCTTATGCTGTGCTGAATTTAGACTGTGGTCGAGGTATGATTTCACCTTTCAGAAATCATGAAGCTTTAAGTGAAGGTATTCGTCAGTGCCAGCCTTTTAGAAGTGGTAAGGGAAAAATAGTCCACTTAGCTCCTTGCAGAGTCTCTCCTCAGAGGAAAGAGCGTAGTACAGAAGTAGACTTGTGACTGCCTAGCTGGGCCATCACAAAAGAAGGGACAGCCTTGCAAGATGTTTACATGATGTTGAAGCCAGAGGAGACCACCAGCCAGACAGCGCCACATCCTTGCGAAGTATCACCGTTTGTGGCGCTCTGCTCAGTAAAAAGAGCATTATGAGAAAAAGCAGGGGGTGGGGGCGGGGATGGATGGAGAATTGTAGACTCAAATTCCAAGTTTAGAAAAGACAGTATTAACAAAATTGAAAATTAAAGATTTGTGTGTAACTGAATTCAGGTGGCTTAGAAATTGTTAGTGGATTTCTTCTTTTTTTTTAAATTATTTATTATTATTATTATACTTTAAGTTCTAGGGTACATGTGCATAACATGCAGGTTTGTTACATATGTATACTTGTGCCATGTTGGTGTGCTGTACCCATCAACTCGTCATTTACATCAGGTATAACTCCCAATGCAATCCCTCCCCCCTCCCCCCTCCCCATGATAGGCCCCGGTGTGTGATGTTCACCTTCCCGAGTCCAAGTGATCTCATTGTTCAGTTCCCACCTATGAGTGAGAACAGGAACTTAGCTAGAAATTTACTTTCTTCCTGCCAAGGACATCCAGTAATGCTTCTTTGTGACCACAAGCTAGTAACTTAGTCTTTCTGAGTCTCAGTTTATTATCTCCTAAATGGGGATAATAATAGCACCTAACTCATAGGATAGCTGTGAGTAGGTAAAAAATTTAGCACAGTATCTGAAACGTATTACAGATTTAATACAAAGGGGTTCTTCTAATATTAATTATGTTTATATTATTGCACATTTTATCTCATAAATGTAAATGCTTTATAATTAAGAATATATTTTACTAAATTTTAGCTGTATTTTGCTACCCTTACTGCCTACTGAAGCTTTAAGATCTTATAAAACTAATAGTTATTCAATTATGACTGACAATATGTTACTAAATGTATAAGGTTACACTGTATAACAGTTCTACTCCATTTAATACTGAGTAGTAACCCTAGAGTCAAAGCTACTAGCTGAAGTTCCCTTCCCCAATGTTGCCATAATCATATGTATACCTGTGTGTGTGTGCATGTGCATGTGTGTGTAAGTGTATGTTTATAACATATGGGTATATTTAATTGTCCTATCTTTTCTAGCTTCTATGAAGAGACTATGCTTAAATAATAATTCTAACAACCCAATGACTCTGAAGGGATGGGTGTTTCTAAAATGTTCACATATGTCCCATTTCTATTCTTCCTCTAGAAACATGACATAGATGGGTCTTAGCTTGCCAAAGATATTCTGAGAAGCACCATATTTTCTGAATCTTTGCCTGCTATTGCTGAGCCATACTATTGGGGCCAAATCTCTTAAATTTTCCATTATCTCCTGAACACTTAATACTCAATGCTGAGACAAGTCACCTATGCCTGGCTTTTCTCCTTCCCAATCAACATAAATGACTTAAATATTATTGAATAAGTTAAAATGGTATTTGGACCCATTCAGCTTACCACCTATGAAACACCAGCTACCAATCACAGACGATATTAACCAAAAGTGAATCTGGAATGCCTCAAGAAAATCAGGATGACAGTCAATCTCCTACTAACTTCTTAGGCATTCCTAAACTAAACTAGCCCTGCTAATGTTTCTCAGTGTCACTGAAGAAGCTGCATAGAAAAAAAAAAAAAAAAAAAGGTATAAAATCGTCTGTTCGGATAAGGAAGTTTTCATAATCATCTACGTATTTTGTTTCTTGCTCCCTAGGACTTCTTTTTTTCTTTGCCCTCCTCCCACTTATGTCATCTTCAGCTCCCACTTATGTCATTTGCAGCTGCAGTGGAAAGCATTTGTGCTCACTATACGGCAAAGGAGGTGACCGAAAATAAGCTCCCGTGAAGCATCACAGTCATTACATGGGAGCAGTTCTCTGGCTCCACGTTTCAATTCCTCCAATCTTCCTGCGAGAGATTGACTTTTTCCTTTCTCTAATGTGTTGAAATACGGACATTTTAATAAGAATGGATAAGAATATGGATATTTAAAATAGGCCATCTAGGTTGTAAGAATGACTACTTTTTGTATTGGACTCAGTAAAAAGTAATCATTTTGAAGAGGGAAACATGTGGCTAGAAACCTGTTTAATTTATTTATTGTCCCTTACTTAATATAACGTCATCTGCAGTGACCTCGAGTGTCCTTCACAACATGTTTTCCTCATTAATACTTAGTGTCTTGGAAGCTGGTCTGTAACTCAAAAGTTGAGAATCATTTCTTTAATGGTTGCAGAATGTACAGTCTAATACATACAAGTAGTCAGGGGAAACTACTACCAAATATTTCTAAAATCAGAATGGCAGAAAGAACACAAACGATTATAAAAGAAAATGTCACAGAAAAAACACATGACCAAGTGAGAAAAAAAATGAAGAATACTTATCAACTCTAAGAAAAAAGAAATTTTGAGCAAAATTCTGAGAGAAAACTGTCATTATGAACAGTATGTAACTACAGTGATCTCAAGAAAACAAAACACAAATGTTGTTAACGGTTGACAATTAGAGCTACATGAATGATGTGTGAAGGCCTGAAGATGTTATTTGTTTATTACAAAGAAGCAGTTATCCATCGTGTATATGCTTGGGTTACGAGTTCATCCCTCATCTTCTTGGTCATTTGTTTATATAGCCCGCCAGCGTGGGCTTTACTATTCTAAAATGGATTTGTTTTTCCGAGTCATTAAGATCTTTATACTATTACTCTCTCTCTCTGAACCTAAAATACATAGCCAAGAAAGCTTGTTTGTATTCTGTTTAGAAAGTGGGTATTTAATTAGTGCCACTTCTATAAACACACCATATTTAAACTGATTACGCTTGTTACACATCACCTCCAGCTATACCTTTAGCAACTAAATGACTCTTCCTCGTCAGGTATCATTTATGTCTTGTTAGTATCAAGAGGAAATGAAATGACATCACACCCATTTTATTTCCCCTCAGGACTCTAAAGTTTCGTTACTATACCAATGGCACTTGTTTGTAATGTGGAGCATTAGAAAAAATGAATAATTTAATAACATTATGTAAAGTGATGAAGGCACATTGTTACAGTCTGCTGTATCATGTATATACTTCTGCCCATAATGCCAGGAAAAGCTGCACTAAAATGAGGCATCAAATTTTGTTATTGTACTGTTTCTTAAAAGTATATACTAGCTAAGATTTTTTTTCCTCCCACCCTTCTTTCCTCCCTCCTTTCCTTCCTTCCTTTCAATATTCCTGACAGGTACTAAGCACAAAACCATGCTGGAAGCCCGGAATGGAAGTGGCACTATCAAAGCCTTTCCTAGAGCAGGAGTGAAAGGCAAAGGACCTGTTAATAAAGGAAATACAGGCCTCCAAAATAAAACATTTCACTGTGAAATCTGTGATGTGCACGTCAACTCGGAAACACAACTTAAACAGGTAAGCAGCAAGTATTCTAGGAGTGAAAACCAACAAGGGACAGCCTTATAAGCAGGATGTGTGTGCTTCCTTCATTTTTATTTCTGTCTTTCTGTCCCATCCACCCATCTATTCATCCATCCCTCCATCTGCCCATCTGTTAACCCACTTATCTTACCTTCACTGTTCTGATTTATTTATGCTTATTTTAGTTGCTTGAGGAAATACTAAAATGTAATAGATTCTAGAGCCTTTCAGAAATTGTTGGCAGTGAGTTTTTACTATTCTTGTATATGAAGAGTGGGTGGAGAAGGGATATCAGATCTTTTCTCTACCAGATTTTCCACTCAAAAGTGTTGATTTTCTTTAAAGGTCAATTTGCAGTACTCCATTTTTATTTGTTTAGATATTTACATGCTGCAACTAATTTTATACTGAGCTATTCTTTTATTTTATGTGTTTTATTATATTGTGTTGTACTGTATGTTTAGATCTTGCAGCCACCTGCAAAAGGGATGACTAATCATGTTGTATTCATTTTTACTATGAATAGCCTTCCAAAGCGATCATTTATACATTGCCAACTGAAGGTCCAGCCCTCATGTTGTGTTTTGTTTTATACATATGTACAATATTTTACTGATTTTATGCACCTTAGTTATTTATCTTTAGAATTTAAGGGTTTGACATTTGACTGTACAAATGTGAGGATAAACATTAGTATGGAAATAAATTCATTCGTTCCTGGGCATCTTTGTTTATTTGCATGTAAAATTCCTTTAGACATTCCTTTCCTTTGTAAATGCTTTTCAAAAGAAAAAAAGACAGAAAAAGAGATGTGTGCAGTGATAAGAAGAAAAGCTAGGAAATAAAAGAAAAAGACACTACTATTTGTTTAAAAATATACTAAAATAGGCCGGGGACAGTCGTTCACGCCTGTACTCCCAGCACTTTGGGAGGCTGAGGCAGGTGGATCAAGAGGTTAAGAGTTCAAGACCAGCCTTGCCAAGATGGTGAAACCCCATCTCTACTAAAAATGCAAAGAATTAGCCATGCATGGTGGTGGGCACCTGTAATCTCAGCTACTTGGGAGGCTGAGGCAGAGAATTGCTTGAACCCGGGAGGCAGAAGTTGCAGTGAGCTGAGATCGTGCAACTGCACTCCAGCCTGGATGGCAGAGCGAGATTCTGTCTCAAAAAAACTACATATATATATATATATATATAATGGATAGCATAAAATATATATATCCTCAAGGCATCAGAATCTCAGGACAAAAGTGCATGATCTTTTATTTTTGTCTCTCTGAAACTTGCATGAAATAATGAATATCTTTCCCCAGGTTAAAGCAATATTTGTGACAGGTTTTTGGAGATGACTTTTTTAAAGCTGTCATTTTAAATTACTTTTAATAGCACATTAGCAGTAGAAGGCACAAAGACAGAGCTGCTGGGAAGCCCCCGAAACCTAAATACAGTCCTTACAACAAACTACAGAAGACAGCACATCCACTGGGGGTGAGTGTCATTTGGCAAGGGTCCAGTCTTTATTCCCGAATGGAATTATTGGTTTCTTGATTTGTTCTGGCACTTTGCCACCTTTAACCACAGCCCAGTACCTTTTACCTTTTTGAGTTGAGCTCAGGTTTGTCATAGATCATAGGGAAAAGAGAAAAACCAAACTCTTTTGAGTCAAGTAAGTAATCCCATGAAATCTGGTCTTGATATAAGTTAGTACTTTTGGAAAGAGGGTCAGGAAGAAACAAATTCATGTATATCTTTTTTAATATGTTTAAGAGACAAAGTATTGGTATTGTTGGTATCCTCAACAATTTTGGATTTTGAATAACAGTCTCAAAGTGTAGCTTATTTTATTTAATTATTCATTCAAGGACATTGCATAAAACCCAGGAAATACTTTGTAGGTATTTCCTCTCCCATGACTGCAAATAAGCTTTTTATATTAGTAAGTATACTATTATAATGTCCAGACCTGGATATTTTGGTAGGACTTTAGAGGAAACCTGTGTGAAACATCTTGACGTTGTAGATGAATATTGATGAACATGCATATTATTTTGTTTTGTTAGTTTGTTTCTGATTGAAGTGACCGTAGCTTTCATTGGAGAGACTCAGAGCTCAATGAAAAGTTAAAAACAACTGATGTATAATTTAAGTTAAATTGTGCATTTTGAAACATTTATTCAAAATAGATCTTATTACTATTTGATGCTATTATGTGCTGCTGACACATGAAAACATAACTAAAGGAAAACTGCGATTATCTATTATGAGACCCCAGTACAAGCTGTCCTGTTAGTTTAGTAGCATTGCCCATTTTGTTCAAATGAACAAATAACTTCAAATTAAGTTATTTAATTTTGTATCCTGAAACTTTACTGAAGTTGTTTATGAGCTTAAGGATCTTTTGGGCCAAGACTATAGATTTTTCTAGATATAGGATCATTTTGTCTGCAAACAGGGATAGTTTGACTTCCTCTCTTCCTATCTGGATGCTGTTTATGTTCTTCTCTTGCCCGACTGTTCTGGCCAGGGCTTGCAATACTGTGTTGAATAGGAGTGGTGAGAGAGAATACCTTGTATTGTGCCAATTTTCAAGGGTAATGCTTCCAGCTTTTGCCCATATGGTATGATGTTGGCTGTGGGTTTGTCATACATGGCTCTTATTATTTTGAGATATGTTTCTTCAGTACCTAGTTTATTGAGAGTTTTATCATGAAGCGGTGTTGAATTGTATTGAAAGCCTTTTCTGCCTCCATTGAGATAATCATGTGTTTTTGTCTTTAGTTCTGTTTACGTGATGAATCACATTTATTGATTTGCATATGTTGAACCAACCTCTCATCCCAGAGAAGAAGCCTAATTGATCGTGGTGGATAAGCTTTTTGATGTGCTGCTAGATTTGGTTTGCCAGTATTTTGTTGAGTTTTGCATCGATGTTTATCAAGGATATTGGCCTGAAGTTTTCTTTTTTGTTGTGTCTCTGCCAGGTTTTGGTATCAGGATGATGCTGGCCTCATAGAATGAGTTAGGGAGAAGTTCCTTCTCAATTTGGAGGGATGAAATAATCTGTACAACAAGCCATGACACAAGTTTACCTATATAACAAACCTGTATATGTACCCTTGAACTTAAAATAAAAGTTTAAAAAAGTGAAGTTACTTTACTTTTCTGTAAAGACACAATTTTAGCTGGATTGGGAGGCGAAGAATTCTGCACAGTGCCTCAGCACCACTAGTCATAACCCTGAATGCTATCTCTGTCCAGCATAGATGCAGCTTTTGACAATCAAGTGAATGGTTCTTAAATAAACAGAGTAGTCAGAATTGTGTTGCTATTAGTATTTAAACTCTTCTTCTTCACTATCACTATGTTACTGACTCCACAAATGGGAACATTCTCTCAGTGAGAACAGGTATTTTGTGATGTTACTAGCCAGAGAATGAACTGGCTTTGTAGAGAAGGATTGAGAAAATGTGGTTACCATTTGCACAAAGAAAAAGTGGAACGTGTCAAAATTTAGCAGAGAAAAGGAATTTTTGGTTGTTTTTAAAATTTCTCTATTGAAAGTGGAATTTTATTGTTTTTATTTATTTTGAATAGTGCTTCATACAATTGGAAACAACATTCTCTGTGTAACCCAGGTTACACACTTGGATAGTCCAATGGCATTTGACAGCATTAAAAATCTCTTTAGAAATGTATGCTCTTTAATAGTTAATGTATGTGTAAAGGGTGATACAAATATTCTATATTTTCTCATGATGAATACTTTCCTCTGAAAGCATAATTTTCAACAAACATAAAATAAAATAAGGTTGCTGAGTACTTTTCTGGAGGACTTTTCAAGCATTCCTGGTTGGCCATTTTCAAGTATCTTCCAACTCTTCCAAAAGGAAAATGTTCTATACCTCCCATTTTCTTTGTTGTCAGTTCACAAGTGTGAAGCTTTTTTCTTTATAGTTGTTTACTGCTATATTTTAAAAGCTCCCTACCATTTTGGGTTTTAAGTACGGATTCCAAAGCTGTTGTTCTTTTACAATACTTTTTCTCCCTTGCAGGTAAAATTAGTATTTTCAAAAGAACCTTCAAAGCCATTGGCGCCACGAATTCTACCAAATCCTCTAGCAGCTGCAGCAGCTGCAGCAGCAGTGGCTGTGAGTTCCCCCTTCAGTCTTCGAACTGCTCCAGCAGCAACACTGTTTCAGACTTCTGCGCTTCCTCCAGCACTCCTGCGGCCAGCTCCTGGACCCATTCGGACCGCCCACACTCCTGTGCTGTTTGCTCCTTACTAAATTCCAAATAGGAGTAATTGTACTGCAATAATTTTTCAAAAAACAAAAAACAAAACAAACAAAGAGAACTATGCAGTGTTTATTTATAGTTTAAAGTATATCTGAAGAGCCAGGACTTTTGATAGTGAATTGAAAAGGTTATAAACAAGGGGGGGAGGTATGGGGGTGGGAGGGAGGGAGTGGTATTTTCTCCAAATTAAAGCATTCCTCTTGAACGTTGATTGTTTTAGAAGTGATCTCCAGCATTGATTTGTAGTGGTATCTAGAACTTCTGAAGCCTCTGTGACTGTGCTTTTGGGCACCTATTTCCCTCTGCATTGTCTTTCCTGCTTTATGAAACAACTATACATTGTCTAAGGGCATTAACTGGTTCCAATGTATATAAAATAATTTACTCTGTAGATTAAATCATACAAAAAAGGAAAAAAACAAAAACAAAAGCAACACTGTGAATAGTACTACCCGTGCTGGTCCTCTTGCTATGACAGCAATTACTGGGTATTTATCCCAACAAAAGTAGATACAGTAGATGTCTTGTAAAACAATAGTGCTGTGTCTCAATCTATGCCACTAGGTTTTAAAGAATTGCAAAGGTAGAACGAACAACTATTTCATATCAATAAGCAGTCAAAAAATAAACATACACCAGATGGTGTCATGGAGGTCTCCCTGGTCAGCATTCTCCCCTCCTGTATGGCTTGAAGATATAGCAGAGCTAAGCTTAGAGATGGGGGAGGTATTAATAAAGGTGATTTCTTACAAAGTACTAACTTCCCACCCTGAAGATATATTGCTGGAAACAGGGAAGTGTTTATAATGAACCTCTGTCTGCAAATAGATAAACCCATGCATCATGGGTGTTAAGAAAGAAATCAGTACAACTTTTCTGTTTCAAGGATGAAGGATCATAACCTAGAATGATAATGCAAAGTAAAGATCTTTAATTTAGTACATATCCAATAAAAACAGAGAATATTACATCACTGCAGTATCCCCTTTATATCATACCAGTAGGGTTGTTTCTTAGGCAAAGGTTTCTGCTTTAAGTATGATGGTAGAATTAAGCATTAGCTATTTTTATGGGTTTTTCTTGTTTTTTAGATTTCCTGCTGACATGATATAAACAATTAATATATATTTAATGTTATTAACAACAGGAAATATGAATCTGAGTTAATTGCACACCAATGACATAGTGTTAAAAAATACTGGTAAGTTCCACTCGACAATTATTTCTCTAGTGGAGTTGTGAAATACTAACAGCCTTTGATATTCACCATCAGGCTGAAAGAAGTTGATGTTTTACCTTTAAAACAAGATTTATCAGGGGTATATATAAATATATGTATATTGTATATATGTTAGAAAGAGTAAGAGAATAACTTATAAAAAGAAAAAATCTATATGACATAATTATATAACCATCCAGTGTTACATGTTATCATTAAATTGGTAACAAATGGCATAAAAATAGCTGTGCCTTTAATTTGTGATAAAGGCTATTTGCTTTTTCCCATAGAAAGCTAACATATACCTATCAATATGGTGGGGTTTGATGCAGCCAGTCTGTTGCATTAATAAGAAAAATGACATTCAAACTTAGAATTATGACAAAACATACATGATTTAGGTTTAGAGAAAAAACTATTTTTGAAAAGGTTTTGTAAAGACTATTTAAAAATATAGGGAAGGATTGGGTGTGGCCTTCCTGAAACTGCTCTTAAAGTGTTGTAACCCTTAGAGAGGTATAAAGAATCAAGAGAAAACCATTTGAGAGATAGGTATTTAGCATTTATCATTTTGTATTTAAGAAACACCCATAGCGTGCTTGGTGCTCAACATTATACAAGGTTTTTGGAGTTCTTCTCCACCATCTAGCTATAGAAATTTGTCATATAAATTAATCTTTAAAGCAGTTGGCTTTATATATCTTTTGTTAAACAACCAACCAAAACAAAAACAAAAACAAAAAAAAAGGAAGGAAGGAAGGGAGGAAGGAAGGAAGGGGGGAACGGAGGGAGGGAGGGAGGGAGGAAGGAAGGAAGGAAGGAAGGAAGGAAGGAAGGAAGGAAGGAAGGAAGGAAGGAAGATAATGTGTTCCATCAGTATTCTGGTAGAAAGAATTTCAAACCATGCTTCTCTGGTTAAATATATTGATTAGCATTAACATTTGCTTTTGAAAGTATCTGGTGATTTTGCATTTACCAGCATCTCAATTCTCTGGTTTTAGCAAGTGTTTCCTTTTTCACCTACAGAGACCCTATTAGTTCAGCCAGGTGGATAGTTGCCCATAAGTTTGTTGTTTGGGGCTCTACGTGTATCCCATGTGACCAGCTTCTAACCATTTTGAAGTTTAGTTTCGCTTTTCTGCTATGTCAAATATTTTGATTTTTCATAGTCATCCTGAATCCCTATCCAACAACCTTTACAACTGATACAGCCTCACTTTCTGTTAGAGAACTTAGTGTTAATTAATGCAGTCTCCCTGAAATGTGCTTTTGCTGTTCTTCCCCATTTTCACCAAAGTGAATGAGCCAGTCCACCAGAAATCAGGGCCTGTGGGATATGCAGGGTCCTGGGTCACAAGGCATTACTGTCTTTAATGATTTGCTGGGAACAAACAAATCAGCCATATTTTCTCCATCAGCCATATGAGAAAACTCAGAAATACCTGGATCCCTTCTGCCTCACTTCGCTACGGAACCATTTTTGTTTAAATGGTCTTTTAAATTGGAGTTGTAAGCATCAGTTGTCTTTTATTCACTACCTAATAAAGGATGAAGCCTAACCACAGAACTTATAGTGGATTCTCTGTGAGTTGTTTCCCCCGCACTCCATATATTTATCAATACCAGATTAACATCCATTATAGTTCAGGCTGCCATAAAGCTGTATCTTTTCCCTTAGGGAACTTTTTTCATGAATAAAGATCCCCAATTTAGATCGGTCAGCAGTGTGCTGTGAAAATCCCTGAGGGTGGTCTGACTTTATGGTTATACATCCCTTCCCATGCATCACACCATGGCAAGGAAAGTGATAGAGAAAGCAGCTCTGATTCATTTGAAACAAATATAAATGCATTGCAGAAACCAAATGTCTCTGGAAAAAGCATTGTTGCACCTCCACCAAATCATCCAGAGAAATGGGAAACAGTCATTGGGGAGGTACTGTATTTCTCTTTTGAGAAAACAGGTGATTACACATGATAAATTGCTCCTCTCACTGGACCTAAACTTTGAAGAGTATTTGTTTTATTCACACAAGAAAACATACTTGGCTTTTGGCAATTTATATCACCCCTGCCTCATTTGAAAGGATTTCTGTCTTTAGATACTATTGGACTTCTCCTGATCTATTGCAGTAATTCACTGCCATTATCATCAGAAATGAAATTTGGTTTTTCTAAAGGTGCTACATATTTTGTTGCCAAGAAGCTAGTTAGCAAAGGAATATTTATATGTATTTGAAAATTAAAAGAGCAAGAAATAATAAAAGACTAAAAATTAAAAGACAGCAGAAGTTTCAAAATAGAATCAAAGTGGCTGTGCCTATTTGAGTTTCTAAGACACAAACCAACACATAGTAGACATGAGCATTAAATATCACTTATTACAATTAAATTTTAAATTAATATCTTTGTCTTTGTACCAGTGTAATGTTTCAATTGTTCAGAAGAAATCAGATCACAAAGCTAAAAGATAACTGAAGTGGTATATAGGCCTCTTTCTTTAGATCTGAATTGATGTGGAAAATTACCTTTCTATACGTAAGCATGGATAACATTGTATTAATAACTTTGTGCACCCAAAAGCAGCATGAAGTGGTGGGGAAAGCAATGAGGAGCCTTAGAGTAGGCAGGGTCTATTGTAGACTTTGTCCCTGACCAACAGTCAACTAATGCCTTGCCCTTAATTTCTTCATCAGTAAAATAGATGACGGCGATTAACAGCTAAGCTGGTTTAATATATCAGCACTAGAGGGGCACTGCTTTTATCCTCTTAGGAATTAAAATTATTTATTCGAGTGACCAATACAACTACTCACAAACTTGCATGTGTCCAGGAAAATATTCCGTATTCCTTTCCATCCTGAGTGTAAACCACATTGTAGGTCATTCATATGCTCAATCAGAATGTACATTTCACCAACTAATACTGGAGTAGTTGCTAATTCACTTAGTACTCACTTATTATGACTGCACTTATGCTAACATCATGTAAGATATGCTACTTCTATTTTCCCAGTCAAGAATGTGATAAATTCTGAACAAAACCAACCCCGAAAAAGTCAATAGCCAGCTGGCAGTGCGGGTGTGAAAAGGAACAACAATTTAAATGCATCATCCTTATTTCTTTTGTTGCACTTTCTCTCAGTAAGAAGAGGTCCTGACTGCTTAGTCTAAGCAGTTTTAGACTAACTCTGTCCTGAGTTTGCATGTATTTTAACTAACGGTCACCTTATTAAGACCATTTCTTCCACAGACAAGTATATCAGTTATGCACTCTTATCATTGTTACAGGAATTATTTAAACTGAGTCCTAACAATGAAAATTTTACTTGACTTTTGCTGATTTTTTTCTTTTCTACATGGGGAGATTTATCTCTGGAACATCTCTTGTGTGTTTGTACGATCTGCTTCAGTAACTAGAGAGGCTATTATCAGGAGGTGAAATGGATCATTTCTGTGGTAGGTCTCCATTGTCTACATAGTGCTTTTGAGAGTGGTATCAGGGTGTCCAGTGAAGGATGGATATGTTGACATGTCATGCTCATGTGGCCTAAAGGTTGTTACTGCCAGGAATGGACTTAGAGCTTACCAGAATGTGAATGGTGACAAAAGGCAAGTTCTACTCTGGAAAAATATCATATGTGTTATTTTATTAGAAGTTCATGTGGGTCATGAATCGTCGCAGAGTTTAAAGAATTCTATGGTTGGGTCATCAATGTTCAGATGGCAAGGGACTGAACATTACCTTCAATTTGAGGGTCTTCTCTTTCCTCTTCTCAGTGATGGAAACTCATCCTTCTTAGGTGGCTAAATTGACTGTAGAAACTGCTAAAATGTATTTGTCAAATGAAGTAAAATCTGATTATTAATATGTATGATCAGGTAGAGTATCTTAGAGTTTGGTAAAGTTAACTAAGACAGCAGAGAATGGGGTCATGTTATTTTCAGACTGGCAGGTCATCTCTAAAGGCAATTTTTAAAGAGTAGGGGTAAAATGATTTGTGAGCAAAGAAGTATCATTAAAAATAAGTAATAGTATAGTGACAAGTTCTAAGGTTAATGCTTATATGCACACACACACACATACAGAATTGTAAAACTATGAGTCTTAGTACCTGTCATTCTTATACAAAGTCATGGTAAAATCATTTTATTTTCAATGATTAGGTTGGTTTTACTTTAAGAAAAGGAACTCCAATTTCACACTTGGGAATTTTAATCATTTTAGTGCATTGGAGGGGCTGGGAAGTAGATATAATGTTAAGGTATTACGCACTCTAGCAGGACTATTATGCTAACAGTTTGAGTTGGGTAATACAATTGTATCATTTCACATCAGCTACTGACTTTGAGTATAGAATTTGAACCCTTATACAATCTTCCTCAAATCCAGGTAGTGTGCAGGACGTGGTATAACAAGACTACGGAAAATTAGCAGAGAGCACCTTAATAGGAAACCCAGATTGTGTTTTTGCCAGTATAACAAATATTTTTAAAGTCTCTCAGTAATAAGATTGTCCAACATAAATCTATTGAGAAACATTGATGTTAGAGAGTTTTGAAGCTATAGTGAAGTGTGTTACATTTTGTTAACCAAAAAACCAAAATGTGGGTTTTATTGGACGTTTGTCAACCCAACGTAACACATATTATATAATTTCAGTATAGGACCCTAGGGCTAGGGGCAACTAATATTGGATAAAGACCCTTCGTGAGATGCTTTATGTCTCTTGTGATGTTATGCTAACATTAGTAGAGATGAAAAAGAAATTAAGTTCGTGAGATCCTGGAAAGTTTAACTTTTATCAAATAGTCAAGAAAAATTCCATTTGATGGCATCTGGTTTTTAAACGGATTATAGAAAAATGTGTGGAAGTACTGGATATTGGTGAAAAAGCCTTGTGGCCAAGGGATCTGGGCACAAGATTGAGCATCACAGAACAGTGAGCACAGTTGTTGGCTTCACTACCAATCATCTACAAGGAAACTGGGCCAATTCACTTGACATTTTGATGATTCTCTCTGATAAAAATAGGGATAATGACTGATTACAGAAATGTGCTTTTAAAAAAGCTGAATTTAGTAAAAGCAAGTCATTTGCTACTCAAAATAGCTCCAAAATCTAAGCCATATTTCTATAAATTTCATAAAATTGTTTTAAAATGTGACTTATAGTTACAGGGTTTATATTACTACATATTTAAGATGGAACTGACCTAATGCCAAAGCTATATCACTTGTAGCTATGTTCGCTTTCTGTTTTGTCCTGAAAAAAGGTTGGAGTATTTTTAAAAATATATTTTTTAATCTGCACATGGAGCTATATGCAAAGAACATTGTTTCTTTGGGGAATATTTTTAGTCATAGTTTCTTTCAATTTATTTTATCAGCCAAAATCTTATATCAGATTCAACTAAGGTCTCCTAACTTTAGTCAATAATTTCTTCTAATAATGTTTAATTCACTGAAATTTTACAACAAATTTTAAATTGACTCCTAAGAGTGGTCATTTGGGGAAAATTTAATGTTATCCAATGTATGATGAAATATTCAGCTTTCACAAAAACTGGATGTTTGGCTACTTTAAAATGGCTGTTCTTCACAATAAAACTACAAACAGACACTATCAAATAAATTGAGTGATAAGTATGTCTATTTACTAACATGAGCCAATTTGAACTTTAGTTTCGAGATCTAAAAATATCTTAATCCACATGCATTTAGTGACTATAAATTGA